TTTTTTTTTTTTTTTTTTTCATTTTAGGTCTCCTTGCATCAGAGATTCCCATCCTTTATTCAATACTCATTAGTGGGACCTTTGCACAAGAAACTCCTCCACACACATACATTTTGGGTTAAATTAATAATCCTACACCAGACCTTGAGGGTAAAGTGAATAATCCTGCACCTGACCTTAAACCCATGGAACTCAGACTGAGGCCACCATGTCCCAGGGAGATGTCATCAGGCAGCTGAAAGTCCCACTGGACCCTACAAACAGGGTTGGGATGCTCTGAATTCAGTCTGTCCTCTCCCAAACTGGCTTTCAGCCTCAGGGAAACACAAAAGCAATTTACTCTGAAGTCATTGAGCTGGTACTGGATTATATTCCCACTGGTTCTTTCCCACACAGAGAGCTGGAGACGATCTGTACTAAACCAAGGTGAAATCCACTCATTTGGGGAAGGGCACATCACACATCTGTGGCGTGAGTCTTACTGAAGCCTTATTTGAAGGCTTAAGCTGTACCTGGGTCATGCCCTGGTCCTCTGAGCCAGGGCGAGTCTCTTAACAGTGAAAATCTTCCCAGGGGAATTGGTTGCCCAATGGGATCACCAATTAAATCAATCAGACATAACACGTTTCAAAAATAAAACTTCTTCGAGACAAAGTATAATAATATTTAAAAAAAAAAAAATCAGCAACAATCTTCTAACCACAGAGTATCTATAAAGATCTTTTTAAAGAGCTCCATATTAAAATTTCTTGAATACATTATATATTAAATACAGTAACAACATTTCATGCAAGGTTTTCTGTACAATTAAATCAGCTCAGTAGTATAACAATTCTGTACATTCCCATTGGTCTGGGGGCTCTGCTCATCTTCAATGCTGGTGATGGAGAAAAGAAAGGAAGGATGATATTTGGCACCTACTGTACAGAGGAAGAGTAGCTCTTGCCCAGGTAAAAGAGAAACACAAAAGCACTGGAAGCTTTTAAGAGGTAAAAAAGTAAAAGAAAAAAACCCAACAGCAAAGGAGCAAAATGCTATCCAAACCCCTAGCTCTAGTGCTGTTGCTGGAATTTAAGAGAAAGGGAAGATATAGGGTCTGGCTAATGAAATATCATCAGGACGGATCATAGGGGAACATGAGGAGAAGAGGAGGGAGGAATGGGAGAGCTGGAGGAGAAACCACCCACTATCAGCTCCTCAGCTGATGCAGCTCAAAGGAGAAAGATCAATTTGCTGGATCCCAAAATCCGCTCCTGATCCACAAACTCTCGCTGCAGCCCGTGTCGCTGCTGCTGCAGGACAATCCCAAGAGGACAAAATCAAGTTGGTGCCTTATGAAAAGGGATGCCGCGACAAACACCGCTCACAGAGAAGGTCTGTTATGTACAAGCATACATTCATTCCCGTCTCGAAGGCGGATCTCTGGTGTCAAGGATGCCCTGTGCAAGACAGCAATGTCCTCCAAGGCAGAGGACACAAACTCGTGGACATGCTCCTAAGGACTTAAGCTCCACTCCTGCCAGGGAAATAGTTAAAAATCAACTGAGGATACAAAGCGTGACCAGGAGTGAGCGGTAGACATGGGGAATGCAACGTTGGCCATCCCCATGCTTTGCTTTAAACAGTTGCCCCTGCCAGGAGGAGGCTTAAATAGTGCAGATGGGATCTAACAAGACGCCGTAGGGAGGAGAACAGACACGACCACATCATGCTTTGGTGTCGGATGAGCCTGAGAAGGTGCAGGGCTTCCCACAACGTGGGGATCAAACAGGACAGCGTGATAAATAGGGAGAACTTCACCTTCCACCACAGGCACCCAACCTCCACGTATAAACACAGCTGGTGAGATCCACACCACCAGTGGCCACACCAAGAAGCTAATTCAGCTCCTGCAGCCGCAGCAATTCACCCACCAACACTGTGGACATCATTAAGGGCTGGTGACCCCAACCTATGGACCCCTCACCTCCCTCCCATGCCCTTATCCACCTCCAAGCCCTTCCTGGCCCCACAAGCTGCCCTCGCACATCCCACCCGGCTGGGGAATGCAGCCACCCACCCGTGCTCAGTGTATCACCTAAAACCCCCAACTCCCCCTCCTCGATCTCCCGTGAAGGACGCCTTGCCCGAGCTCACCCCGGCCGGGGTGACACTTGGAAAGAGGGTCTCAAATTTTGCAGGACTAAATCCCCAAGGAACCGCGTTACGACGATGACCCGGGTCCACACAGCTCCGTCCCCAAACCCTAGGCCAGCTGTCCAGTAATTGCACTCGTATGTACAGGAAAAAGAAAGCTACGAAACAAAACAAAAAAATCAGTATTTTTTCTTTTCGACGATTCACCCGCATTTGTCTGATAGTCGGACACATGCATGTCCTGCTGGCTTCTAGCGATGGTCACGCATGCAAGACTTTCAGTCCGAGTTACAAGTTAGGGGTCCTTTCTCCTTGGTGTCATTCATTTCTTGTCCTCTTCTCCTGAAACAAAGGGGGAAAAAAAAAAAAAAGAGAGAAGAAACAGTATTGGTGAGGATTCAAAAGCAAACCAGCTCCCTGTTTTTTGTTGTCGAGAGACGTTGCTCCTGGGCTGATCCCAGAGGGGACCTGGGATCCTGCCTGCACAGAGCTGCAGCAGCTCAGGCTGCACGAGGAGGAGGATGCTGGTCCCTGGGTGAGGAAGAAGGGCTCAGCTCCCTCAGCCTGCAGGAGGTAGGAAAAGGGATGAGTCGGAGCCATGCAGGCAGGAACAGTGGGAAGGTGAGCAGGCAGGAATCCCTCCTTAACACTCCTAATGAGAGCATCAGGTAGCACCCAGGGAATGGCAGTGGTGCAGAGAGGATGAAGCTCACTGCATCCCACCACACATCCCAAAGCCCTGTCCCCACCACAGCCAGATGGATGGATACAGCTCCATGGGCAGACCCCACTTACACACACCATATATATATATATATATTTATATATATATTTACATTCATATATACCTCCAGGACAACCAGCAAGGACCAATCAACCCATTGAAATCACTGTCCCAGCCCCAGGGCTGCCCTTCTCACTTCTCCCCACCCTACACATGGATGGAATCGGTCACGGAAGGTAACAATCAACATGTGGCCTGAAAGAAATCTACGGTGTCCAGGCTTGAAATCCCTGCCAGAGCTTGGCTCACACCAACTAGACCCTCAATTTTCAAGGAGTCAATAGCAGTGTCCCCAGGCCCCCCGAGGCAGCAGTGACTCTTCAGCCCAGGGCTGGGAAAGACCAGAACCAGCTTTTCTTCTGCCTAGAACAAGCTTTTTTTTTTTTTTTTCCCTTAAAAAAAAAAGCACCCACAAGGCAGCACTTTCTGAGAAGAGTTAGAAAAATGACTTAGAGTGAATCTTTTGACCGTATTTCTCTCTCTTTCATCGCTGCACACATCACCAAACACGTTCGCAGGGGACCGCTGTTGCTGTGCTCTTGATAAACAGGGGTCCTGCCTGGGGTTTCCAGCCAGGCTCTGCTGCCAGCCCTGGTGCCGACAAGCTTCCAGGGGAATTAATAAATAACAGGGGAGAGAGAGAGGGGAAAAAAAAAATAAAATAAAATACTTTTTCGCAACTTCTGCCAAAACTTCCTTCCAGTGCTGGCCAGAGAGCCTGGCCCTCGTGTCCTGAGATGAAGTTGCTGGCTGCAATGGCAGCATCCCTCGGGGTGACCTCTGCTCCCCCGGCTCCAGAGCAGAGCAGGGATGTCGGTGACTGCGCTGGAGGAAATCTCATCCCAAGGATCAAAATTCACCTCCCCCGTGTTGCTGGGGGTGTCTCTTCAGCAGCTGAACGCTCCCCAACGGGACTTTTTGCCCACCACGGCGCTTCCCCCCATGGTTGTGCAGATGAGGGGGTGGCTCTGCCCGTATGGTGGGCAGGGATAGGAAGGGGACACAGCTGCAGTGTCGACATCGAGCATTAAACCACGTCAAATGCTCTTCAAAATGTTACTCTCGGGCTTCTAAGTACCCCCCCACACGGAGCGAGTCGGGTGCATCCACAAAAACCACGGTCAGCCAAGGGTCCAGCACCCACTTCACTTTAACAGGATGCAGGTTGTTAAATTTAGACCAGATTTAAAGCAGATTTTTTTTTACGCTGAGGGTGATGAAACCCTGACCCAGGTTGCCCAGGGAGGTGGCAGATGAACCATCCCTGGAAACATTCAAGGCCGGGTTGGACAGGGCTCTGAGCAACCTGGTCTAGTTGAAGATGTCCCTGCACATGGCAGCGGGGTTGGGGTAGATGGCCTTTAAAGGTCTCTTCCAAACCAAACTATTCCATGATTCTGTGAAATGATGGTGTCTGGCTCTGCTCCCCACACACCAGTGACAGGAGCTGGGGGGATCCTGTTTGCAAGAATCAGGGGGTGGTTGGGATCCACCCGATCCCATCCTCATCCTGCCTTACACCACCAAGTTTCTCAGGGCTGTCCCAGCCCTTTCAACTCCTGCAAACCTGCAACCAAACAACACAAGCTCATCTCCTACAAGACCTGCTCCGCACCAGAACAGCCGAGGCTTTTCTGGGTATTTTCCTTATTGCTTTTGACTTCCCTTTTAACGGTTTCCCGTAAAAGGTGATGCTGGAGGGATGCAGCTGAGATCACCCCTCCACCAAAGGAGAAGCTGCAGCCCTTGTAGCTCAGAGAATTTCACATCTTCCCCACTGCACCAGGGCTCCCCAAGCTTTGGCCGAGACCCTGGACCCCAGGAGAAAAACAAAAGGGAAATCCTCCTGCCATCCCTCTGCACTGCCAGGGCAGCAGCACCGAGAGCTTCCTCCTGGTCTTCCATTTCTAAAGCGTGGCACATGCACACTCAGGAAAAAAAAAAAACAAACAAACCAAAAAAACAAAGATGATTCAAGGATTGGAGCATCTCCCTTATGAAGAAAGACTGAGAGAGCTGGGACTCTTTAGTCTGGAGAAGAGAAGGGGAGACCTTATTAATGCTGACAAATATCTCAAGGGTGGGTTGAAGGAGGAGGGAGCCAGACTCTTTTCAGTGGTTCCCAGTGAGAGGACGAGGGGCAACGGGCACAAGTTGGAACATAAGAGGTTCCACTCAAATATGAGGAAAAACTTCTTCACGGTGAGGGTGGCAGAGCCCTGGAACAGGCTGCCCAGGGAGGTCGTGGAGTCCCCTTCCTTGGAGATTTTCAAGACCCGCCTGGATGCTCCTGAGTAACATGCTCTGACAAGCTCTGGGCAATCCTGCTTCAGCAGGGGAGTTGGACTAGATGGTCTCTATGGTCCCTTCCAACTCTAAAAAAATTCAGTGAAATTCAGTGAAAACAGGAAAGAGGAAAAATAAAATAAAAAGCAAGGGATCAGAGCTGTAAAATCCCATCTGGGGAGATTCCGGCGCCGAAAGGTGCGGTGCTGCTCTCCCTTCAGAGCATCCTGCAGCTCGAGAGAACGACTTGGCCCGTGGGGACACATTCCTCCCCCGGCGCCAGCGCCCGGCCAAGGTATCTCAGCGCAGAGATTACCCTACAAGGGCAGCCACGGCCGCGGGCGCTCGCTCCCGGCTCCCTGCCGCCGCGGGGAGAGGGCTGCCTGCCTCCTCCGCAGGGAAAACGGGAGCTGCAGCTGCCCCTCTGCTCCCAGGGGGGGATTTTGGGGGCTGCCCTCATCCCCAGGTGTGGGCACAAGGGGGAGGTGAGGTGAGCAGCTCCTTATTGCTACGTGCCGCAGGTTTTTGTGGTTTTTTGGCGTTTTTTTTTGTGATGGGGGACAGAGATTTTGCCCCCTGCAGATTTCAGGCTGTCTCAGAGGGACGCAGAACCCCGGCTGGCCCTGGCAGGGAGCGTGACACACTTGTCACCACACAGCCACCTCCGCCAGCTGCTCTCCTCTGGGAGGATGTTAAAGCATAAAAACGACACTGACTTCACAGATAAGAGGCCAAATCTCAGCAGTGGAGATGCTCAAGGGTGCAATCTCGCCAGCACATCAGCTGCGGTGGCAGGAGGCTGCAGAGCACCGTCCTCTCCCCCCGGGGAGGGGACATATGGGGACAGGTACCCAGCGGCACGGCCACCACCTTGCAGCTCCTGCAAAATCACCCAGGGGTGGCTGTTCTCACTGGGTGTAAGATAAATGTTCACCTGCCACAAAACACACCAAGGAAACTCTTGTGCATCAAAACCTGATTTTCAGAGAGGCTGTGGCTGCCGGGGCAGTTTGTAGCCAAGTGGCAGAGAGCACCCACTTCTTGACTCGCTCCCGCTTCTACCACGGCACAGGGGAGAAACAGCTGGGCTGAAAACAAGTGAAACCACCACGCTGGGACCACTGACACCTGCAATGGGCTTGCTCCAAGATGAGGAGGCCCAGGGATAGGGCAGGAAGGGAGTGGGATGGCTGTGGCACCAGGCTGATGGTGCACGGATGGTGCACCGGGGTTATCTCAGTGTCCTGTCTGGGTTTTGTACCTTTTGAGAACCACCCAGAAAAGAGAATTCTGCAAGATCTTGGCGCAGATGCCTGGAAACCTTCCTCCTTCATGCCATGGGGCTCAGACACCAATACACTTCAATGCATAGAAGACAGCAGATATTAAAAACAATAGGGCAAGAGGCCCCTGAGGGTGGTCAGCCAGTATGTATCTGTGTGATGGACACCCAAGAGGACCTTGGAGAACATCTCCACATGCCTGACCAGAACATCTACAGGCCACACCAAGACAACCTAGCTCATCCATGCACTTTGTATTGCTGTCTCCTACTCACATTGCTTCCCAAAAGAGAAACAATAGAAACCCCAGAAGGGCCAGAGACGGATGAAGGCAACGATACATGCAAAGCACACAAGATGGGAGGCTGGAAGTGAGTGGGGTGGTGGGGAGAGGAATGAAAAACACTGAGACCACAGTGAAAACTGAAGAGACTCAACTTTCTGCCACTTCAAGGACAAGGAAAATCCAGTGTAATGGAAACACAACTTATCTAAAGCTGATCAAAGGAGAAAATTTTCCATGCAAAACCTGAATCAGCACAACTCACAGCTAGACATTTGCATTCCTCAACTAAACCCCCTTGACCATCCCTCAGATTTGGACCACAGAAGGTCCCCTGCTGGAGACCATCCTCAAGCATTGCCTTGCAGAGGCCAAACAGTAGCCTGCCCCACCCCAGCCACGCAAACAGCTGCTTCACGGGCTTTTTAGCCCTTATTTTGAAGCAAAAGAGAGGCCAGTGTGGGAAAGGAGACCCTGTCTGGGTACATGGTCCCTGGGCTGATTTTCCAAGCTACGTTCACCCGGACATGGTCCAAGCAGGTCCCCACCACACATGAGCAAGACTTTGGAGGAAACACGAGAACATGGCATTCCAGGATGAGACATGTAAGAAAGCCAACCCTTGCTCTGGAGTCCTGCTGGTTTTCAACTGGTGCTCCCCGCTCCACGTGTGTCTTACCGTCCTGAGAATGCCTGGTAAAAGAATCACAAGCCCACATTTAAAAGTGGCTTCTTGAGGTTTTTTTGTTTGCTTTTCAAAGCCCAGAGGAACTAGAAAGATGCAGCTTTCAATTATTTCATTCAAGTGTGATGATTTAAGCGTGATTTTTGCCCTGTAGCCGTGATTGAGTAGCTGGATGGGAAACCCGTGGCTGGATGAGACACAGAGCGACCCGTGAGCATCAGCAGCACCGTGACCATGGGGATGAGGGCAGCTCAGAGGACCCAGCATGGGAGGAGGAAACACTCTGAGCTGGTATGATGGGACTCAAAAGAATCATATGCCTGCCAGAAGCCCTGCTGTGCTTGGAGCCGCGCTGGCAAAGCTGAAGAAAAACCCCTTCTTCCAACAGCACTGAGGTTTTATAGAGAAATGCAAAGTGTGGGAGAAAGAAACACTCATCCCCAGATCACAGATGGTGAAGTGAAGACCGAGGGCATGCATGGGATGCAACAGCCAGGAATTAAACCAGCTCTCCTACGCCCCAGCCCAGCGCCGTGCCATAAAATTGTTGCTACGAGCTTGTGATGGTATGATAAAACAAGCCTGGGTGATGCAAAGCACCCATCAGCCTGTTGAGAGATACAACACTTTTCAAAAAAAAAAAAAAAAAAAAAAAAATTATAGTTCTGAAGTGCTCAACGAGAAAATGAAAATGATTGGTTTTGTCGTACTGAGAAGAAAGCCACAATTGGATTTGTATGAGGAGAAACCGTGCTTCCAGCAAACTGAGGGACTTTCCATCCGCAGGAGGGAACCGGGACGCTCACCTCTCAAACAGCATCTTCCTGCACTTTAGCAGAAAATAAACCCAATGCAAGAAAACAGTACTAGCTTATAAAAGAAAGAAATAAAAAAAAAAAAAAAAAAGCTAGAAATTATTTCTGTCTGGTCTGTAAAAACAGGAGCCCCTGCACCTCTGACTCTCAGCAGAGGCTTCGCTGAGCAATCGCTGTGGTTATGGACCAGCTCGGTGCAGAAAGGAGAGCTGATGTGAGTTGGGAGCCGGTGATGGGGAACGCAACCAGTTTGTGATCATTTCCTGCTTCCACTAACTTCCCATATGGTGTTTCCAGCTTTTGGCATGGTTCTGCTCCGTGAGAAACCAAACAGGGCTGTTACGATGCCCCAAATCCCTCCCTGCCAGGGCTGGGTGGACCTGCCATCAGCCCTGAAATGCAAGAGTGGCTTCACACAGTTTTCTTGGGTCATTATCAAAGGGTGAAGACGAAAGGAAGGGGTTTGCTAGGACATCGGATGCTTAAGGGGAGAAAAAGGGTTTGAGCAAGGTGATGCTGTGGAAGGACATCCAGTCCCCACACTCAGGTTGACCATCTTTCAGGGGCAAGGATTGTGTCTTCTCCTGCCCTTCACCTCCCTGCTATCCCTGTCGAGGCAAACACACCTTAAAAATGGAATCAAACCTGTTTTCCTGGAGAGGAGCCAGCCCCGTGGCAGCCACGGCCCCGCAGCCAGGAAAAAGCCTGCAGGTTTAACTCGGCGCCCAGATATCACCCACAGCAACATCTTTTGCAAGAAACGAAAGAAAAAAAATGATATCATCTCTTTGGAGGGCTGCCTGAACACATGCTGTGATTTACAGCACGCAGCCCAGCAGCACATGGGAACTGCTGCCCTGGTGTCACAGGAGCTGCTTCTCCTCCACGTGCACCACAGGACAGATCCTGATTGCTGCTGGCCAAGGGCAACCCCATTAAAAACAATTTATAACACACTCGGCTCTCTTTGATCTTAAAATAGAGGTAGTAAATACAAGATAAGGACGGCCACAGAGGGGTGAAGGGAAAAAAAATGAAGGATTCCTGTTAGAAACCAGTGTTTGGTTTGTTTTGCTTTATAAGAGAAGAGATCCAGTTCCTAGAGGTTTGAGAGGAGCTGGATAAACACGTGTGGAAGATTTATAGATTTATCTAGTACTCCAGCTCCTAAGGCAGCATTTCAAGGAGATGTGAGTACCAACCACTCTGCCTGATGTGGCACTTGAGAAGGAAGGGGGTAGGAGAAAAAGTCCCCGTTTCACAGCAAAGGTGGATGAACATGCAGGTGGAGACACCACATGAGTGGAGAAGGTGAACAAGGCACCCGTGAAGCCACCACAAACCCCCCAAGCAAAGCACCATGGAGCCAACAGAACCCAGCGTGGTGCAGAGCATGCTCACCATCCAGGTGGTTGCGGGAAAGGTACTTGAGTCCTTCGTCCAGCAGGATAACGGGCAGGGAGATTTTCATGACAACCACCCACTGCGGCCAGCTCAGGGGGGTGACCTGGAAGATGAGCTGCAAGGCAGAAAGGATTGGACATCAGTAGAGAAGGAGGTGGGATGTTTTTTTTTGTTTTAAAGGCCAGGTTGTTGTATGGCACAGGCTGAGAAAGGGTCATCCCAGATACAAGGAAGGATGATCCAGACAGCCTAAAGAACACTATTTCTTGAAGGTCTGTCATGATCCCATGGTGGCTCTTGGCCAAGATCAGTCAAAAACAATGTCTTTCATCTCTCTGCAGATGAGGAAAGCTCGGACCGTATGTGGTCACAGGAGCTTAGCAGGGGACAAAGGACAATGTAACCTCCTGGGCACAGCAACCTGCTTCATCTTAAGCACCCTTAGGCATCAACCAAGGTGTCACCAACCTTAGACTGCAAAGGGAGGGTATGCCTCCAAAAGGAGCTGAGATATCCATACCCCTTTGGGTTGCCTATAAAGAGAGCTTCTGACTTAAGTAAAGGCTCACTGGGGCAGGGTATCTCCTGGATCCCATGTTGGCTTGAGTTATGGGCGGGGACAACCGTCCCAGAAGCTTCCAGACCCAAAGACTGGTCAAGAGTGTCCCTGCCCATAAGAGGAGTCCCCCCAGGCTGTGCATAGAGGTGGCAGAGAGCACTCACAGGCATGGGCTTCACGTAGAGGATGAGGAAGTGCAGAGCCATGGACACGATGATGGCCCCCAGCAGCCAGATGTTGAGCCACGGTGGCATCCGTAGCAGCGACTGGTTCTCAGAGACACTGTGAAAGCGAGGGGACAGCATTAGCCCCAGTAACCTCCTGCTCCCCGTGCCTGCCCAAGCTGGGGGTTCCCCCTCCTCTCCATGGCTGTATAATTATAGCCCCTCTCTTCCAGACTGTTCAGCTTCAGACTTTGCCATGATTTGGATCTGGACACCCATCTCAATGCAACCAGCCACACATGGATTAGGACCACTCGTTAACAGGGCCAAACTGCTAATGGATGCAGATCCAGTCCCTCCTCCACCACTGTCAGCAGCAGCACATGGGCTTGGAGGAGCTCATTTACAGTCAGCCCAGTGGTCCACTGCAAGAGCACTCCGAATGGCTCTGCTGAGGCAAAGCAAAGCTCTCAGCCCACCAAGGGATGGTCAAAGACACCCTACACGGAATCGGTCATGCGTAGAGCCTACAGAGCGATCCTGCAGCCACCCTACCTGTTCAGAGCATTGCACATTTCGATTGTCACCAGCACGGACAGAGCCATCGTGGTCGGGTATCGGGACTCAAAGATCTCACAGTCGATTCCTTCAAAGATGGGGTTTTCCTCAGTGCACCTCATGAAGTTCCTCTGTCGGCACAGGAAACCGCTGGTAAATACAGGGCAGAGCAGCAGTGTAGGAAAGGCAGGAAAGAGGAGGAAGAGGTCGACTGGTTGAGGGGCACATGGTGAACCTTGATTAAGAGTGCTGTTAAACACCCCACAGTCAGAGAAACTCATAAAACTGCCTAAAGTGATCCAGCTTCTGCTGTGGTGGGGGCTTTGGGGTTATGGCTGGATCTTGGCTTAGAGATTTTCAAGTGCAGTTAATAATGTGTTTGAGCCCATGCGTGTCTCCAGAAAAAAATACATCTTCTATTGCATGTGACATTGGGGTGCAATGGCACCCACTTTCCCCCCACCTTGCTCAGACCTACAGTAATGTAAAAATCGATCCCCCTAATCGATGTGGGATTAGGTACAGAAGCTGCTTTCAGCTTGTTTGGGTCAAGTTGGTTGCTGGCAGAAGCACGGCTAGAAACATAAGCCTGAGAGAGAGAATTTGCTTTTCTTTTTAAATTATTGTCTTCTCCACCAGGAATTTGGGAACGCTACCATAACCACAGAAGAGAGATAGAGGAAAGACCCCAAGGCCTGAATCCAGGCCTGAACCCATGCCCTCATCCATCTGCTCAACACGTTGGCCCCTTCCCCTCCTGACTCACCAGCTGATGGAAGGAGACCTGCGGTCCATCGGCGTCGTACAAGAACCACCAGGTTGCTGCACCCACCGTGGCCAGGCCCACGTACACTGCGGCCAAGAGAGACACCCTTACCCCCAGCACCCAGAAAGGGGTCCCTTTCCCCATGGCACCCCATGCCCATCCTCTGCCCACTGGTGCCTGTGGGGACTCACCTCCGATGGCCAGGTAGCGGAAGAAGAGCCAACCACTAATGAGGGGCTCCTTGGGGTTACGGGGCAGCTTGTCCATGATGTCCAGGTCGGGGGGGTTGAAGCCCAGCGCGGTGGCCGGCAGCCCGTCTGTCACCAGGTTCACCCACAGCAGCTGCACAGGGATGAGGGCCTCGGGCAAGCCCAGGATGGCTGTTAGAAAGATGCTGTGGGGAAAAAAATAAATACAGAGATCCTGAATTAGACGAGCTCCATGCAGCCAGAGAAATGTCTGTGTCGTGCAAGGGAAGAGCGAGCAGGCACCCCGGACCCAAATACCCCAAAGAGAATATTCACCCAAAGTCCTGCAGGTGAACCCCCAGCCCCTGAGTCAGGAACCTGAAGTCCAGGACTGAACTTTGCAGCTAAAATTCGTTCCTGTCGCTACTAAAATTTGCTTTGCAGTTGAAACACAACCATTGATGTCCCCATGGCCACGCAGGTTCCTGTTCCAAGCACAAACACCCCTGCTGAAAGGGAAGGGCAGAGGATGCCCAAGTGACCCCAAGGCTGTGCCCACGCTGCTGAGGATGGCACTGATTTACTGGGAGGGATGGGCAGGGACAGGGAGAGCTGCCCAGGACCTAGTGTACTAGTGTGACCTGGTGACAACAGCCTGTGCACAAGTATCATCTTAGACACTGGCGTGGGCTTAAATGGGCAATGAATTAACAAACCAGCTCCTCAGGGGTAGGATGGTTATAAAACTACAAAAGAAAAATCCCCCTCTGCCCTCAGGCATTGCTGCTCTGTTTGGTACCCAGGGTTACAATTTTGGGCACTGCATGCTGCCAGGGGCAAGGGTCATGGACAGGACTGCAGGTCACCTGCCCCAGGGGACGTGTCCCCACCTCTGCTCCCTTCAACTTGGTGCCCAGTGTGGGGGGCTCTCACCAAACGACCTCCCCGACGTTGGAGGAGATGAGGTAGCGGATAAACTGCTTCATGTTGTTGTAAATGGCCCTGCCTTCCTCGACGGCCGACACGATGGTGGAGAAGTTGTCGTCAGAGAGCACCATCTCAGCGGCTGACTTGGCAACGGCCGTGCCCGACCCCATGGCGATGCCAATCTCAGCTTTCTTCAGGGCCGGGGCATCGTTGACGCCATCGCCTGTCTGCATGAAGGTGTGATTAATGAGGTGCAAGGGATTGAGCTGGGAGGAGGAGGAGGAGGAGGAGATGGAGGAGGAGGAGATGGAGGAGGAGGAGATGGAGGAGGAGGAGATGGAGGAGGAGGAGATGGAGGAGGAGGAGAAGAGAGGAGCTGGGGGTGGTGGGGCATCCCCAGGGGACTCACCATGGCGGTGATCTCGTGGAAGGACTGGAGGTACTCGACGATGCGGGACTTGTGTGCCGGCTCCACGCGGGCGAAGCATCGGGCATCGCGGCACGCCTGCCGCTGCGCCTCGGGGGGCAGCTCGTCAAACTCCCGGCCCGTGTAGGCTTTGCCGGTCACGTCCTCGTTCTCCGAGAAGATGCCGATCCTGCGGCAGATGGCCACCGCCGTGCCCTTGTTGTCACCGGTGATCATGATGACGCGGATGCCGGCCTTGCGGCACATCTCGATGGAGGAGGTCACCTCCTTGCGGGGAGGGTCGAGCATCCCCACGCAGCCCACGAAGGTCAGGTTGTTCTATGGGGGGGAAGACAGCCCCAAGACCCACATTAACCATGGGGATGCAGCCAATTCCCTCCCTGCTGTGAAACCACCCTGGGCATGGGGATACTTTCAGGAGGTTTCCAACCAACAGCCCCATGGATGCCCCCTATAGCCCCAATGCAATGGGTTGCTCCCATCCCCTCTGCTGCTTCTCACACCTTTTCGCTCAGTTCCCTTCCTCCCCATCCTTCTTGATGGTCCTCAGGACCCTCTAGGTGGTCACCCCACTTGTGATGGATGCCCAGTGGGACAGGGCTGTTGGCCTTGAGACCGGCCAGGTTCTACACGCAGCTCTGCACCAGGGTTTGCAGAGAGGAGGAGCTGAGCCATGGCACTGCCCGATGCTCACAGAGAAACCAGAGAGAAAATACCGCTGGGGCAGCTGGAAGTAGGTGGGAAGACTTTGGGAATAAGGAAAAATAACTCTTGGAGAAAGCCCCCGGTGCTGTACCTCGTAGTGGATGAAGGTGGCAGAGTCGTGCAGCTGCATGGTCTCCCTGCGGACGGGGGCGTCGTTGGTGGCCAGGGCCAGGCAGCGCAGCGTGTCGATGCCCATGCCCCAATCCCGAATCTTGCTCAGGATCTTCTCCCGCACTGGGGCCGTCAGGGGGACCCTGGCAGTGCCCACACGGACGTGGGTGCAGCGCTCGATCACGCTTTCTGGGGCACCCTGGGGGAAGAGAGGAGGTCTTAGGGGGCTGGGATGAACCTGGAGGATGAGCATCTCTCTTACCAGCACCCAAGGAAGTGCTGGAGGGAGGGAAGGCACCGAGTTTGGGCAGAGGAGAAGGTGATGTCCCCAAAACTCCACCATGTACATCCCAGCACGGCAGCTCAGCGCGCTAGATGGCAGCCTCCGACCGAGCACGGAGGGACGGCGGGAAGGACGAACCCGCGTCAGGTCACCAGCCAGCGGGATCTGCTCCACGGGGGATCCCTCTGACTCCCTCAAAACCCACACACACGGCTGCCTGGGATACTCCTGCCCCACAGATTCCCTCTCGGATCTGGTTTGGTCTATAAATCTCTATCAAAAATACGTGCCGCCTGCAGGACGCGCAGCGGATGCTTGTGATGCCTTCGTGATTCAGGAAAACACGTCCTTCAGCATCGCAGCATCTCACCCCCCTCCCTTCTGACCTTACAAAGGACCCCCGAAATTGCTTTTTAATATCAAACTTGCAATCTTTCTATTGGGTCCTCTTAAAAAAGCTCGCCCAGGACCGGCAAGCCACAGATGTGGAGGCTCCAGAGGGTCCCGACCTGACCCGAAGGACAGAGTTCACCCACCCAGAAGAGATCTCCCAGTGGGAACAACAATATACAAATCTTCTCAGAGTCAGCAGGGGGAAATTCCTGCCGCATCTCTTCTCTTGGGAAGAAAATGCCCTTTAAAATGTTATTTTATTTCTGGTTACAGTGGAAAGCTGGACATCACCCTTTGGGCATTACTGGTGTCCGGAGGGTCCAAGCCTTTAATAAAGGCAAGCACCCAAATTTTACCCAGGGGCAGCTTCCCCCTGGCCCCAGCACGAGTGCTCTCAGTGCTTTTTCCTCCCTCTAAATCATTTTACTCCTTTTTTTTTCCTATCAATACTGCAAAGACTCACCTCCTCCCCCACCACACCAGCCTACCTGCCAGCTCCTGGACCCCCAGACAGCTACAGGAGGGGACAAACTGACAAAGCATCCCTGCCTGCTGCACTAAGGGCCAAATCCTGCCGGGTGTGCGTGGGGAAGGAGGATCCTGCAAGGTGCTGAGGACCTTCTCCCCTACCTTGACGAACATCTTGCTGCCAGCGGAGTTGTGGCTGGGGCTGGTGGGCGTGCAGTACACGGACATGGACTTGCGGTCACGGGAGAACTCCAGGGTGCACTCCTTCTTCATCAGCTGCTTGATCTCCTGCAGGGACAGCGTGGGGCTGAGCTGGGACGTGTCGGGGACACAGCAGCCAGCGCTCTCCACCCTGGCTACTAACCCTGCTGAATGGGCACAGCACCGGTGATGGGAGAAGAAAAGCAGCCACAGAACCAGGAGGGATGGCACAGTGCAAAAAGCAGGAGGAGTTTTCCCTATGCAGATTTTTTGGGAGACTGGGCTGAGTTCCAACCTCAGGGATCACCCGTTCTGAAGCTCCATGTGGACCCATGGCCCCAACATCAGCCCCCCAGGGACACTGCACTATCTGCTTTGAAAACAGCCAAGGAATCGCATCCTTGTGGCAGATCAGCCCCTTAGATCACTGCGAGTGGTTATTGCTGAAATAAAGCTGTCCCAACCCCCTCCTCTGCCTCCTGTCCCCCGGCACTGGAGCTCACAGGGTGTCCCCCACTCACCGAATTGCAGGCGTTGGCTCGCTCCACCTTGGAGAGTTTGCTGGTGTTGGTGTTGAAGACGTTCATCTTCTCCACCAGGCACGTCAGGGCTGTTTCAGTGGCTTCCCCCACCTTCTCATAGACTTTTTTGGACTAGAGGGCAGGAAAAAATAAAGGAGCTCAAGCTTTTGAGCATGTCCTCTACCTGCTGCTCTGACCAGGGGTGCTGTCATCCACTGCACCATCCCAGGGATCCCAAGAGCATCACCCCGGGATGGGTTGAAGCCAGGACAGAGGATCCCAAGGGATAAACCTCCACTCCAAAGGGACCCACAGGAAAGGGAAGAGCATCTTCGGTGTCCCCCCATGCCCTGGTGTCCCCCTCACCTCGTTGTAGTCCAGCGAGGAGTCATTGCAGAGGGCACAGATGGTGGCCAGCTCCACCAGCCCGTCGTACCGCCCGCACTGCACTGGCTGCTCGTCCTTCAGGCTGCGGGGAGAAAACAACCCCCCAAAGCCTTAAGCCGAATTCAAATTACACTTAGCTTCTCTATATCCATTGTAAAATTCCCCGAAAAGAGGGAGAAACAGCTCCGGGTTTGGCAATAAACACACCTGGGTTCACATTTTGTGCTTTACCAAATGGGCAGGACTAATTGCAAATAAAATGCCACAGGAGGCAAATAAACCCTGGGAAGTGCCCTAGAATAAAGGGGGCCGCAGAGGAGCTCAGAAGAGCGTTGGACCTGAAAGCAGGGGCTGTCAAAAGGCTGATTATGAAGATGATGGATGAGAAAAGGGGCAAAGAAATCCAAGTTCATGTCCACTCCCCCAGGGTTTTCCAGCTGCCGGGGATCCAGAGGAGCTACAGCGAGTCTCTTCTCCTCCCCGTGATGCTGCTTCACGCTCCGGAGAGCTGGAGGGCACCCGAGGGAGCATTTAAAAGCAGCAGACAAATTTAATGACTGCATTGCTGTGGCTGGCTCCAAGCAAGCAGCGAACTGTGGCCTTTGCTTCCTAAATAGCAGCTCTTTGCTATGTAAAGGAGCACAAACATCACCGGAAAGTAGCAGCCCCGAACACAGCAGGGAAGCTGGACGCTGCTTCTCGCCCAGTGGCAGAAATGGCAGCGGTGATTTTCAGGGGAAATAGAAAAAAAAACCAAAAAAACTTATCCCGGTTCCAGGAGAGGTAACTGCAGGTTAGAGCTGTATAAACCCAGCCGGTCATCTGCTCGCTGGAAAAATAATTTGTCAGGCATTTATTAGGATCAGTTTATTCCACTGCTGGTTCCCAATGGAAAGAACAGTTTGGAGCCCTTGTTACAGCTCGGGAGCGGAAAACAGGGAGCGGCCAAGAAAATCTGAAAAATCTGTTTGCTGAGGGACAAGAAGCCGCGCTGGGCTGAGAGCGGGCAGGGGAGAGCTGCCTCCTGCCCGGAGGATGCTGCCTGGCCTGGCTCGTGGGCAGGGGGAAGGAGGGAGCCTGCAGGCACTTGGGATCAGGTTTTGATGTTTGGGAAGGTGGAAATACCAGGGATGGCTTTTGCAGCCTGTGATCCCCTGGAATGAGCTGTGGAGGGATGGGGGGGATACATCCCCATCGTTGTCTGTCCCTGCACGGAGCTGGGTGAGATCTGTGTGCTGGGAAAGGCAACGTGCTGCTGGCTGGGGGCTGCACTGGGATGTGAGCAAACCCAAGGTCAAGCATGTAATATCCCCCACGCTGAGGCCAGGCTAAAGGAAAACAAGCATTTCAGTCCCACCAGCCCTGGAGGAATGGGGGGGGTTTCTCTCCGTCCTCATCCCCACCTCGATGTGCATTACACAGAGCTGAACCAAAACTCAAAAGCAACACAACTTGTTGCAGACCAACACAGAGCATCCCCACAGGCAGTCCCTGGAGAGGGGACATGAGCTTCGGAGGTTAGCAGACATGAGTTCAGCCCCTCAGTCCTCCTCATTTAATTGAAACGCACTGATTGATACCGGTTTATGACCTGGCTCACTTTTTAATGGAGATTCCTAGCCAAGGATCAAATTGGGTCTATAAATATTTATGAAATTAAGTCTGAGGCTGGGAGGAATTAATAGTCACTCCGCAGATGAGCAGAATGGACCGTGATGAAGAACGTGCCCGGGATCACACAGCAAAGCGAAGGGGAGCGGAGAGTGCTCCAACCACCACCTGAGCGTCTCATCTTCCTCCTTCCCAGACTTTCCCCACATCACCTCCCTTCAAAGGAGAGGGAATAAACAAACACAAGAGCAGAAAATCCCACATGTGTAATAACGCAGCAGGGAGAAGCCCCTGGTTTCCATCCCTGCTCTCAGCTGCAGCTCAGCAAAGCCCATGTTTTACCCCAAAACGTGCCCTGAAATCAATGGAATCAGCACTGCAGCCAACTCTGCTGAGGACACAGGGCTCAGGGAACACTCTCCTCCCATTTTCAAGTCCCTCCACACATCACTGGTGGCACAAGCTGCTGGTCCTGAGTCCTGCTCGGGGTGGGGGTGATGATCACCAACCGATACTGAAAATAGGTAGGCTTCAGAAATTTGGAGAATGAGCACGTACTGAGGAAAGCCTCATTCAACACCATTCCCACATTTGCTGGCCTCTCTGCTTCCAAGGCAGGCTCATTTTATCAGGATTGCTAACGAAGGGAGAGCTGAGCCCCTTTGCTGAGCAGTGGGAGGGTGGTGGGCAGAGACGGGGAGCGCATCCCTCACATCATGTTGGGCAGGAGCTGGTGACAAGGGACAATGAAATTATTTGCCCTGGCTCCCACTGAAAGTGAAGAACATCCACCCAATGCTTGCAAGTCCAGTGTGGCCAAAACCCAGATACTATGGTGGGTATCACCATAGACAGGGTTCAGTGTGGCTGTGAACCGACATGGAAAACCCAGATAGGGGTGAACTTGGGGTCCCCCAGCCTTGGCCACAACCTTTGTCCTCCCACCTCCCCCTGACTGCCCCAGGGTCACCTCGTGTCACCCGTGAAGCAGAGGGGACCCACACTCACATCTGTCCCTCGGGGGCGTAGGTGGAGCCGGTGATGGTGAACTCATGCAGGCTGCACTGGGCGCCCTCCACCTTCTCCATAATGAACATCTGCAAGAGGGAACGACGGAGACAGAGCGTTAGGCAGCCAATTTTGGGTACAACTCACTGGAGTAACTGTAACTCACCCACTGGAGACCCACCAGCCTGTACCATCCTGGTGATGGTCCCACTAAGCACAAGGTTCATCCCCCTCCCTGGTTGCCCACCCTTCCTGGCTGTCCCCAAGTCCTTCCAGCTCTCCCCTGCCTTCTTCATGTTCGCCTCCTCCAGCTCTTTTTTTCCATCGGAGAGGAGCGATGCTGAGCCAGTTCCTAAGAAGGTGCCTGTGTTTTTCTTGGAGCAGGGAAGAAGCCGGGCTCTGGTTTCCACCTCTGCCCTGGAAAGCCTCCGTGGGGCAGGATCCGACCAGCCAAGAGCTGCAGGAAGGGGCTGCCCCTGCTGCCTTTTCCCAGCCAGCTCTTGGCCACCAACTTGCCTTATGGGCTACTGGGATCACAGCTCGGCTCCGGGCACCGGCAGCGTGGCAGCTCGGTAATAAAGCCCTGAGGAACCATAAAAGTCCCACACACTCTATTTTTAGTGAGTTTTGCCTTTCAAACTCCTTCCAGCTTCTCTCTTGCTGCAACAGTGAGACCAACAAACCCCCCCCCCAAAATAAAAATACAGTAAAAGTCCTCCTTCTCCCCCAGCTCTCCCAGTCCCCCCTCGCACAGCCCACCCTTTGGGGCATCTCCAGCAGCAGCAAGAGCAGTGCCCAACCCCAGCCGGGCCGCCAGTTTGGCGACGCTTGTTTCTGCTTAATCATTATTTACGACCTGTGCTGAAGCCAAAACGTAACATAATAAATAAATAATAATAATAAAAAAAATTTTGGTTTGATGAATGTGTTTCCCCGGCCGCAAGCAGCCACGGGGAGCAGCCAGGAGGGAGGATGGCTGCAGGAAAGTGATGCCCTCAGCTCTGCAGGCCTGCTCAGCAGCTCCAGAATGTGGGTGCAGAAGCAACTGTCCCTCTCTGCCCCGTCTCAAATCATTTATTTTCCCTATTTATTTTCTTCTGTTCATTTGAGATGCTCCCCAGGAGAATGAGAAGGCATCACTCAGCACCAGAAATGCCACAGCTCCGGATACCAATCCACTTCCCTCCCCTCTGTGCTTCCTCTGGCAACTAACAGAGGTTATTTTACTATTATTATCAATGATTTTTAATAATACAAGGACACCCCACGTTGGCTGGTGTGTGTGAGACCTCCCCACTCAGCCCAGTATCCCCAGGTGCAAGCTTAAGGCCAAGCCAAGAAAAAATGGTCAAGTTTAGGGAAGCACATTTACAGCAGGTTTAGCATCGGGACACCTCGTTGGGTTTTCTCACCTCTGTATTTTACAGGCTTGGGCAAATCAAAGCAGGAGGTTCAAAGCATATGTCTCCTATGAAATACTTCTGAGCCCAAAACAACCTCTGTGCAGCCCCACAGCTTCACAGCTATTTGCAGAGATCCCTTTTGCTGGGCTACTGCCCTCAGCTCCTTTCCCAGAGCCCATCCTGGAGGCTCCTCAGCATCCCTGAAGAGTTCAGAAGAAAATCCCCAGCCAAAGGGTGGCAGAAGAGGCTCAGGACATCCCGAGCCCTTCACTGAGGCATTGAGCTCCTCTGGTAGGAGCTGCAAACACTAACGCATGAAGGACCTCAATAAAGAGAGACAAAACACATCGAGTCCCCTTCAGCAACTGGATTGCCCCGAGGTGACAGACTCCAGAAACAGAGGCAAAATGTGGCTGAAATTTCTCATTTGCTTCTGCAACACCAAAAGATACCTCCGAAGGGTGAGCATCCTTCATCTCTTTTTGAACCGTCCAACACCATCGGCCTTCCAGAAAGCCGAAATCTCCCAATCTCTTCAGAAAATGGACTCCTGTGCTCAGAAATGCCAATCAGACTCTCATTTATTAAAAAAATCTGACAGCATCCACCCCAGTCACCGGTGGTTCTGCCTGATACGGGACTGTTTGTTTTCAAACGCTCAGGGCTACAAAACAATTACTACTTTCACAATAGCAACTTTCTTATTAAAAAAAAAAAAAGGAAAAGGAAAAAAAAAAAATCATTCCAGGCCCTTTATTTTTCCACGCCTATTAAAAAAGGTGCTGCGTAACCCACAGCAACCAGAGGTTATATCAAATTTCCTGCCTGCTCCCGGCTTGCGTGCCTGGCAGAGCGAGGGGGTGGTGGGGGGGACCCACAAAGGTGTTTGCAGGTTCTTTGGGGTGATATTTCAGCAGATTTCCAGGCTGAAAAGTGTTGGGGGGGAAGTTTGCAGGCAGTGGGAACAGCCCGGAGGAAATAGCTGTGAATTAATCTGTAAAGAGGACAGGTAAGGTTCCCATCACACAAATAGTGTAATTAACAACAGGAGCGATGGAAGGAGGTGGCAGAGCTGTGTGCTGCAGCTCGGCTGGGTGGTTTGGAGGGGGCTGATGAAGAGAGATGCTCACAGAGGGGTTGCCCAGCCTCTTGCACTGCCACCAGCTCCAGCACCCAGCGAGGGGAGCCCAGCCAGCACCCCCCAAGGCTCCCCTTGCCATCATCCCTTCTAAAACCACACCAGCGATGTGGGGGGCTTCATGCAACAGGGAGATGGAAAGGAAAACATTACTATGTGCTAATGAAGAATGCACCCTGCTCCTCCTGCCCTGCAGATCTCGCCTGTCCCCATTGCTGTGTCACACAAATGTGTATATATCTGGGAAGCACTACTGGGGAGAAAGATCTGGGAGTCCTGGTAGATAGCACGCTTTCCATGCGCCAGCAATGTGCCCTTGTGGCCAAGAGGCCAATGGGATCCTGGGCTGTGTAGGGAAGAGTGTGGCCAGGAGGTGGAAGGAGGTCATTCTCCCCCTCTGCTCTGCACTGGGGAGGCCACAACTGGAATCCTGCGTCCAGTTCTCGGCTCCCCAGTTCAAGAGGGACAGGGAACTACTGGAGAGAGTCCAGCGTGGGGCAATAGAGATGATTAAGGGATTGGAGCATCTCCCTGATGAGGAAAGGCTCAAGGAGCTGGGACTCTTTAGCCTGGACAAGCGAAGACTGAGGGGAGCCCTTATTTATGTTTATAAGTATCTAAAGGGTGAGTTGAAGGATGATGAAGCCAGACTCTTTTCAGTGGTTTCCAGCGATAGGACGAGGGGCAACGGGCACAAGCTGGAACATAGAAAGTTCCATTCAAATATGAGAAAAAACTTCTTTGGGGTGAGGGTGACGGAGCCCTGGAACAGGCTGCCCAGGGAGGGTGTGGAGTCCCCTTCTCTGGAGATCTTCAAGACCCACCTTGATGCAGTCCTGAGTGATGTGCTCTGGGCAACCCTGCTTTAGCAGGTGAGTTGGACCAGATGATCTCTAGAGGTCCCTTCCAACTCTGACAATTCCTGATTCCGTAATTTTAGAAAGAAAAGGGCACTCGTGGCTGCACTGTGCCCAGAGCAGCACAGGGCATCGGGGTGCAGGCTCAGGGGGGAGAGGGATGGGAAGGATACGTCTCCTCATTTCTGGAGTATCGTTGACAGAACTACTCATCAAAAGGCAGACGAGATAGGATTGCTGTCTGGAATAGTAAGAGGCTGTAATCATCAGTCATTTACCCATCCATCAGCCCGGCAGCGGTTTCCCCCCGCGCTGGAAGCAGCCCTGGCTGATGGGCACCCACCGACGACTGTCACAGCCCCTGGGACACCCCCAGCGAGGCCTCCCCCTAATTAGTGGCTGGTTTAGACAGACACAACTGCTGAATCAAAGCACAGTGTTCCTGGAGATTAAAAAGCAAATAGCACCCACGCAACTCCTGGGCGGCTGCGCTGGGGATGGGAATTTGCACAGCCAGGCTCTGCTACAAGGTTTATTGAAAATAAACTCCTTTCTGCTGTCGTTTCCCAAAACACCAGCCATCTCCCTCTCCTGCACATGGGGTACCAGCATCTCCCCCCTCCAGCCCCATCCCACTCTGCCCCACGCAGCAGCAGCCCCGAGTCCACCCGGCCACACTCACATCCCCACTTCATGTCCTGACTCTCAACCACCCCCCTCCCACTCCTGGAAAATTAAGTTCTAGTGCATAAAAGGGTGCTGCAACTTTTAGGAGATGGATTTAAATGTGCAAGAGCAGAGCTGCAATGCCTCTCTGCCCATATCTCCCCCTGCCAGACTTCCATCGCTCCCAGGAGGTTATTTAAGGGTTGGGAGAAGGCTGTCCCTGGTTGCTCCACACCATGGGCTGGGTGAGATGGTGGTCTCAGAGACCCCCCAGTTGACCATGAGGTGAGCAACACAAATTGTGGGTTTAATCTGATTTATTAAGTGCGTTTGTGGCTTTACGGTGTTGCTGCAGAGCTGTAACCTCAGCGGACTCGAGACCACAGTAAAAGCACCAAAGTCTTGGCCAACCCAGATGGATGAAGCCCCCAGCACAAAGCCCTTTGGTTGGCACTTCCCACCCACGAGCATCTGGGGGGCACTGCTTCGCCCATGGCACCCACGAGCACCCATAAGCACCCAGAGGGACCCGGAGCTGTTGGCTGAGCCCTTAAAAAAACAGCTGAGGGTTTTAAAACAGGCTCGAAGCCTTTGAAGAGTCACTTTACAGCTCCACAGACCCGGCGCCGGCAGCGAGAAGTAAAGGGCAAGGACCACTCAACAGCATACCCTGTGGCCAAGCAGCTGTGCTCACCCAAATTAAACGTGTGCCTTAATTAAATCGCACTCAATTAATACATTTTTCCAGGTTATTGACAGGCTTTTGTGGCTTTTGCACACCCGTAACTGAGCTAGCTGCTGGGCTCAGGAGCAGGACCAGGACACACCAACGGCCACCAGAGCAAATATTGACCCAGCCGCCGCTCGGCAGGGCCACCAGCAGCCTCTGTCCTGCCTGGGTCAACGCGGGAAGCCCTGCCTGTTAAACATTAACAGCCACCTCTGGCCATCCTGAGGCCAGCCTGGCTCTTGGTATCACATCTTGGGAGTCAGGATTCAGCCAAGTGAATAACACGGATATTGGAAAGGGGCTGAGGGGAGCTGGGGTGGAGGATATGTTGAATTTTGAATTTATATTCTTTTTTTAAAGTTGCTGAGTTCATTCTGCAAATAATGATTGATTGAAAAACCCTCTTGTGTGCCCTGCTCCATCCTCCTCCTGCTCTCTCTGTCTCAGCATCCATAACCCTGTCTCTCCTGACCGCGCCACACCGCAGCAGTCGGTGGCACTTCTGCCCAAGTTCAAGGGCAGATCCTCCAGTAGGAAGTGGTTTGGGGAAGGCAGAGTCACGTCCTACCTCTCCTTCTGCAATCTGAGACCCTAAATGCTGGCGTTGCCCTTTACTCACTTCCCTGTATCACTGGGGCAGAAAGAGGGCTGGTGGGAACCTCCTCCTCATGCAAGACACGGGCAGCTTGGTCACGGCCTTGTTCCAGCGGTGTCTCATTTTAAATCATTTACAGGGCAGAAATATCAGACATTTCCAGTCATCTGCAGTTTGTGCTGAGCAAACCAGTGGCCAAAGCTCATGGCCAACTCGCAGCACGGTCACGGCTTCCCACCATGCTACCCAAGTGTCAGAGAGGAGGGACGATGGCCAGGTCCATTTTTCCCCACAGCAACACATTTTCCAAGGTTCTCCTATAAAACCGACACGCCAAGGCCATGAAACTTTCCTGAGACTCGAGGATTAATGGGGAAACTGAGAAGTATTTGGATGGTCCACGCTTTCCTAACAAGTCACCTCCCCATATGGCCAGACACGTGGGAGAGCAAAGCTCTCTGGTAGACCAGGAGCCTTTGACCTCTTTGCCAAACCACCCCAGGGATCTCTCCATAAGAAGAACTTTTCAGTCCAAGCCCAGCTGCACACAACTGCTGATGGCAGACCTTCTGCCAGGAGAGGACAGATAACCCAAAAACCATTTCACCAGGTCACAGGCATCTTCCCTTAACCTCAGGATTTCTGCTTGAGCTTGTCATGGACAGCTGGACCCACATGCTGCACTGACCCACCAGGTTTTGGCCTCACAGGTCCAGACTTTGTAATTTTGCGTGTTCCAGGATTTCTCACTGGTTTGGTTAAAAACAAGGGAAAAATAGTCAAGAGAGCAGAGGAAGCTGATCGCATTGGCTTCTCCAAGAGCTTTGTCTCAACGTCATGTCCCAGCAGAAAGAAATGCTGGAGAGGGAGACCCTGAAATAAATTGGCAACATGGCACCTCCAAACTGGTGTGCTCATAAAAATCAGTTTTCTAATTACAACCAGGCCAAGAGACATCATAAACCTCCTCACCCCAGGTCAGGCAGAGAGGAAGCTCAGGGCCTCCTACAAACCATCTTCCACGCTCACTTTGAAATTCCTAATGTGAAACAATTTTGGCAAGGACAGCAAAGCCCATCACCCCAAGATGGGGATGGAGCGGTGCAGGGTTTTGAGGGTTCACAGAGCATCCCCCCTGCATCCCAAAATACCCCCCATACTCACCCGGCAGACGGACATCTGGTTGGTGGTGAGGGTGCCGGTCTTGTCGGAGCAGATGACAGAGGTGCAGCCCAGGGTCTCCACCGAGGGCAGGCTCCGGACAATGGCGTTCTTCTTGGCCATGCGGCGTGTGCCCAGCGCCAGGCAGGTGGTGATGACGGCCGGGAGGCCCTCAGGGATGGCAGCCACCGCCAGTGCCACCGAAATCTTGAAATAGTAGATGGCCCCCCGAAACCAGGATCCCCCATGGACGGGGTCGCTGAAGTGGCTGATGTTGATGACCCAGACAGCGATGCACACCAGGAAAATCACTTTGGAGAGCTGCTGGCTGAACTCATCCAGTTTCTGCTGCAAGGGAGTCTTCTCAGGTTCAGTCTCCACCATCTGGTTTCGGATCTTCCCGATCTCAGTGTACACCCCTGTGGCAATGACAACCCCCACAGCCTTCCCAGCTGCGATGTTGGTGCCCTGGGAGGGAAAAAACAGGGTCAGAGTGGATATATGGGCATGAAACCTCTCAGCCTGAGGGGTAAATGGGTCACTAGTTGTGAAAGAAGGACACGAAATCACAGTTAAAAGTAAAGGAGACATGCTGGGATTTTATATAAACCACCCTAAAGCAGCAGGAGACCCCTCTCGCCCCTCGAGGACTTGGCTTCTGCCTGAGAGGCGTACGAGCAAGGAGGAAACTCAAACTTGCAACAGCTCCAGGCTCAACCACAAACCTTCCCTCTGTCTGTAGTACATCCTGCTTGATGGAAAACCCACTGAGATCACCCAAGGCATTTAAGGGCATCATGTGCCACAGCCTAAATGAAATCCCATGGAAGCAGGTCCTCTTTTTTATGGATTTGGGGCTCTTTATATGGATTCGAGTCTTTCTCGTGCAAGCACTCCCTTTCACTGCTCAGAGACCTTCTGTGTCCATCAGCCTCTTTGCTCAGCAACTCTGCAAAACCAGAGGAGAGGTGGGGACAGGCATAAGGTACTTACGGAGAAAAGCATGTTCTTCTTGTCCTGGTTGACAGCCCGGGGGTCAGGGATGGGGTCAGCATGTTTGATCACCGACACAGACTCCCCTGCGAGACAAGAGGGGGGAGATGAACCACTTGTTCTTTGCAGATTTGCCTTTTTGCTGCATCTTCTTTTGCCCTTGGTGAACTAAGTTAATGAAGACACTTTTCAAGGAGACTGGGCTCCTTTCCCTGTCTTTTTCACATTTTTTTTTCTGATTGATTGCTTTTCCTTCCCTCCTGCCACCTCCTAACTCAGTGCCTTTACCAGCACACAAGGGAGCTGAAATACTGGAAGCCCTTTTTGTCATCTGATCATTCACCGGCCTTCCCCGACAGCAGAGAGGGAGAATCTTTGAAATATCATAGATTATCAGTTTAAGGGCTTTTCCGGTGCTTAAAATTAAAAAAAGCCCCAAATATTGTCACCTTTCCCTGGAGTCAGGAGGCCTCATGCACCAGTGGTCCTCGTGTGATGGCTGCACGGGGGGAGTGTGGGCAGGGACTGAGCAGCCCCTCGTGAAACCCCACGTGTCGCACGGGATAGATGACTCAAGATGCCCAAGCACTGGGTGCATCTTGCCTAGGCCATGAGTTTTAAATGATGCTGTGACCTCCCCAGGTCCTCAATCTCGTTCTCCCACCCATCTCCCACCCAAGCAAAGCGCTCAGTCCAGCGACACCCCCAAAATTTGGCTTTGGGGCGGATGGCTGAGGGAAAGCTCTGCCTTCAGCAGCCACCTCCACCCCATCGCGCCTGCACGCACCTGTGAGGATGGACTGGTCCACCCGCAGGGTGGTGGAGCGGATTTCGATGATCCGGATGTCCGCCGGCACCTTGTCACCAACTACAGGGGCAAGAGAAGAGCAGCTCCATCAGGTGGGACCAGCAGCACCCACCACCCTGGGGAAGGGGGATGGCAAATCCCAACCATGCCACCACCGTTGGGCTCTGTCCCGAGGCTTGGGGACACCAGTTTGAACCTCAGTTCCTTCTGTCTCCCCTTGATTTCTATTTCTCTCTGGTCTCCAGGGCAGGGACCGGCTTTTGCTGAGAATCACCATGGCCTCATGTGGTGCAGGCACACGGCAGCACCCTGCCCGCAGCAATGAGGGGTCCAGCCCGTGGTAAACCAGGGTCCTGACCCAGGATGCCTCCTTTTTGCATTTGAAGCTTAATTTTCTATGTCTATAAAGCTTAATTTTCTATGTCTATAATTTACAAGTCAAAAAAAAGAAAGCTGGGAAGAGGCACCATCAGTTGCCATCACACATCAGGCAGGGCAGTGATGGGACCTTGAGGAATTTCTAATTTAGGGGGATTTTTACACAAAAGCAGCCAGCCCAGGGAGCGGGCAGCAGCACTGAGGGGGTGACTCGTGCTGTGCCAGGCACCCTCCACCCTCTCCCATGGCCCCACAGCGTGTCTCAGGCATCACCTCCCTCTGCAAAATTCGGCAGGAGCAAGCGCTGCCCCATCCCTGCTGTCTATGGATGCTGCCCAAGAAGAACTAACTGTGGTTGGAGCCAGGTTTGCCAGGGCAAGCGAGGGCAGGAGGAGCCGATGGGGCTCCCAGCAGGTCCCCATGTCCTACCCATCCCAGCTCCACCTCTGCAGTGACATGAACTCCTCCACCACGGCCAGGACCTCCGTAACCATCACAGGCAGTGACCACCCGCATACCCAGATATCTTTTCTCTTTTTGGAGCAGAGCTGCCACAGTTAGAGGCACAGGCATGCAGTCCTGGGGGCATCATCATCACACCCCCTGCCCTCAGCCAAACCCTAGTGTGGCCCTGCCTGCCCTATCACATCCCCATCTTTCCTCTTCCCTGCAAAACCCCCAAAACATCCCCATTTTGGAGCAGCCCGAGCCTCCCAACACCACTCTTATCCCCACTGCAGGGCTTCTTGGACCAACTGGAAGCTGCTGACACTGAAAGACCTTTCGTGGCTGAGACAAACAGCCGTCCATGGGTCTTCTGGCTTGGAACAGTGGTTACAGGAGAAAGCAGCCCTGCTGATTACCAGCCATCGACGGCTGCCCACTGAGGCACATGTGCTTCCTTAAAAAAAACAAACAAACCCACTTTTAAAGCTGCTTTTCCCGCTGGGTTTCCTCCTCCCGTCTCCTTGGCACAGAGAGGCTTTTCCTCCTGCTCCCTTATCGGCTGGACGCAGCGGCGCTCCAGGACTTTGGAAATATTGAGGCAAAGGCTGCCCTGGCTCCCGGTGCTTTACATCACGTTACACAACGCCGCTGGCCTTGGCCGCTAACCATCCTCTCAAATCCCAGACTTTAACGAGCGCTTCCTCCCGGGGCTCGTAAAACCATCCCCCCCCCCAGCTTCACCGAGCGCAGCGGGAGGAGAAGGGGCTGGCACCGCTCCACTCCCCAGCCAGTTATTCCAGCTGCAGATCCCAACGCTCCGGGATGCGGCGTGTAAACATCTGCTGCCTCATCGGACCTGCCCCACTCCCCTTCGCACCCCTTTTTTTTGTGGGGGGCTGAGATGGGGCATGCTAAGCACAGGGACTCACAGACACCCACCTCCTCACTCCCCCCCACCCCTGGAGATGTTTCCCTTAGATTTTGCAGCACCTTAAAGGGAGCAAAGGGCTCCTCTTCTCCCATGGGGAAGGCAGGGAGGGTTGGCCAACGTTGGCTCAACCTGCAGATGAAAAATTGGGTGCCAGCATCTAGAGATAGCAGTGATGTGGGGGTAGCATCTGCCCAAGGGTAGGTATTGTGATAGCATCCCAGGGGACTCGCACCACACAGGACAGACCTACGGACCTGGCAGCTGCCCTGAGCCAGCTACTGAACATGCAGTGACCACCCAAGTCTCCGAAAGCCAAGGGAAAGAGAGGAAAACGGGAGGCAGCGCTGCCCGAGCAAAGCGGGGGTGGGCAAGTGATGCAGCCCCCCGTGGGGCTCCCCGGGCAATGCCCACGCTTTTGGGGCAAGGCAGAAAGTTGGGGCTGTGGCTGAATTCCCAAGGACTCACCTCAATTCCCTTGTTACAAAAGGGCAGGGTTTAAAGAGCAACCCAACGTGCCACCATCATCCCCCTCCTGCCTTAGGGCAGCAGGTTTTCTGCTCCTTGCTGCCAGATTTAGGGCATTTGCAGATGCAAAAAGCAGCCAGTCCTGCCTGGGCTGTCCCCAGGATATCACCTGCACGTTCAAAGCTATTGCTCCTGGTGCACTTTCCTACGGGGCAGCCTGACAGCATCCCATCACTTGCCATAATCTCCTAGACCCACAATTTGCTAATTAATTTGCAAACCCCTCTAGAGGAGAGCTCAACTCTTTCCCTCCCAGTCCCGATGCCGATTGTGCCGTTAATATTCAGGCGCTGCTGGGCAGGCAGCAAGCACTCGGTTGGGGGAAAGGTGGCAGAATTTCACTTCATTAATAATGAATTAATTTAATTAAAGGCCAGGTCACCAGCTGGAACGCGTTGCTGGAGCCGGCTTGGGAGCTCTGCCAGCTCGCCCAGCTGAGGACCTGGCCGGCACTCCTCCGCTTGATCCTCCCTGCATTATTTTTATGTTCATCTTCCAGCTGAAGCCCAACTGGAAGACATAAATAACAGCGAGCTGGCTGGGCGCGGGAGGGATTGCAGCATCTTTCCACTAGCAGGGCCACGAGGAGGAAAAGGAGAGGATTAGTTTCGCCTCCCTGGGGGTTTACGGCATCGTTTAACCAACAAACAAAACGGGATGATTGAAATGCATCCTATTTAGCTCTGGCGCGGCAGGCAGGAGACCCCCCCCCAGCCACTTCTTGCTGAATGCAAAACCCTGACAGAATGGTTTGGGGGGGGAAACCTGACCGGGGAGGCAAAAGCATCCTCCAGCCAGTCCCCTCTGCCTCTTGTCCTCCCCGAATAACAAACCCCAGTTACCAAGGAAGCCTGCCCACGCAGGCAGGACCAGCGCCGCTGCCTGCACCGCTCAACCCCCCCGTGCCGGCGGCAGCGCTCGCCCGGCATCCCCTGCTGCAGCACCCAGCGTCTGCCCTCGGCCCCTGCCTTGTCCAGGGGATGTGTGTGGGGGAGTCGCTTCCAGACAGGGGGAATCTTGGTGGAAAAATAAAGTTCTTCCCAGAAAACAGGGAAACTCTCCCCAAACACAAAACCTGCACCAGGAACAGCGCTTTTTTCACTTTTCTGCCATTCTCTACAGACCCACGCTCGGGGCGAAGCCTCCGCAGGCTGATGAGCCCCCACTTTGGCCCAAATCATTTCACCTCCCTGGATTTGAGTAGAGAAACTAAAATCTCAAGTGTACGACAATGAGGTGAATCGGTGGCCATCCTTCCAGAGGGGATGCAGCTGGACGTCGCAGCAGAACCCTCCCACCTTGAGGTACCTGCCATCAAAGCCCCCCTGGCCAGCACCACCTCCCCATCCCACCCCGTGCCCTGGGGTGATGGCATCTTACCTGCCACCTCCACGATGTCCCCAGGGACAATGTCCCGGGCGCGGATCCGCTGCACCCCACTGCGGTCGGCGCGGATCACCTTCCCCATCTCAGGCTCGTACTCCTTCAAGGCTTCGATGGCGCTCTCAGCGTTCCTCTCCTGCAAGCAGAGGAGGAGCAGAGCTGGTGGTGGTGGGGTTCCTCATGCCAGCAGGCTCCCTCCCCACCCAAACCCCAGCCCTGACTTTGGCATCCATTTGCACCATGGATGGGGCAAGTGCTGCATCTTCTTCAGCTGTCTGAAATGGTCCCCACTGGCTTAAACCTCACCAGGTCCTGGATACTGCATGGACCATTGGACTTGATTTTCTCCTTCTCACTTTGGGAAGCAGCATCTCCCACTCAGATGTGTTTTTTTGCCATCCAGCAACCCCATTTCAGATCAGGTTAGAATTAAATAAATGGCCTTAAAGTGAATATCTGCAAGAGGAGGAACATCACTGGCTGAGGTGTTTGCTCATCCCCCATGATGGATACAGTGAGGTGAGAGGCAGCAGCCACGGTGACTTTCTGGTGGATGGGGCAAAAAGCTTCCCTTGGAAAACACATTTGGCCATGGCCAGGAGACAAGCAGCATGTGCCTGGATGGCAAATCAGTGCAAGATGCTAAACTCGAAACTGTAAAAGTTGCCCAAGACAGACTGAAGGAACAAGCCAGGAGGCAGCAACGACCGAGCATCTGCGCTGGGGTGTGAGCCAGTGTGGCCAACATGAAAATGGAACCTTTGAAAAATGAATTCCCAACGGCAAGAAGCAACCAGCCCTTCAAATGAAGCATCTCAGCCATGTGGAGCAGAGACCTGCGGGGCAGGGGGGGACATGGGGGTTGAGACTCACCTGCCACACCCCCACCACGGCGTTGGCGATCAGGATCATGATAATGACGATGGGCTCCACAAACGCCGTTGTGGTCTCCTCTCCTTCTTCAAACCAGGCCAGGATCTGGTAGGCAAGAGAAGAGGACCCCAGTGTGGTTGAAACAGCAAGCGCTAACATTTTAAGAAGAAGGACGGAAACAAGAGCCAACCAGCATATGGCGTTTACTGGAGAGAAGACAACCCAGAGTGGTGGCCAGCCCCACACTACTTGGTTAAAGCGGGGACCTGCCATATGCCACTGCTGGTGCTTAACTCAGGTGCCTCCACGCTTCTCCTGGGGATAACCTAATGCATAATACAAATGAAGCACACGCACGCACACAAATATTCTCACTCCATTTAACTGCTGGTTGACCTGTGCTGGGTCAACATAGCAACGCCCTGCTGCTCTGCAGCAGCAGGACCAGCACAAAGGACCTCTGACAGGGGCTCACGCCTGCTTTACCCATTAGCAGAGCCACCATGGCAGACTCGTCCGTCAAGCAGATTGCAGCAGCTCTCCAAATTCAACAACAAACGGGTCACTGCATGTTGTTTGGGGAATGTATTGAACCTTGCAAGGGACCAGCCTCCCTCCTTATCAGCCCAGGAGCCGTATCCAAAAGGAGGGGAAAGGAGACTCAGCTTTGCCATCCCACTGCCAAACACCCTCAAAAAATACATAATTCTCCATCAGCTTGGTGGGAAATGTCTCCCCGTGCAAACTTGCTCCCAAGGTAAATTGTGGGCAAAACTGAGTTAATGACTCAGTACTTGGGCACCATAAATAAGGCTCAAATCAACAACCAGGGAACAAGGTGCTGCTTCTACCCAGCACTCGCAAGGCACCACGCAGGTAGAAAGCACTAACCCTGCCCCACACGTCAGCAAAGGTGAAAAGGAAAAGCTATGTGCCCCACACTGTGGCCAGCTGTACCCGATACCTGCCCTGAGCATCCTCAGCTTGGGCTGATATCACCAGCTTGGGTATCACCAGCCTGGCATCTCTGAACCCTCCCAGCCACGTGGGCAGGAGGAAGGCAGTGAACAGCAGGCAGGAGGTACCTCCCACGCCGGCAACCGAAACGCTGCCAGTCTGGCTCTGCCAGAGGGAGCAGGGGAAAAAAAAGAAAAGAAAAATTAAACAAAAAATAAAACAGATTGGAATTTCATTTTTAATTGAAAAATGAGCAGAAGGGCTCCGGGAGGGAGACTTCACATGGGGTTTGGAAAGGCTGCCAGCCCCATCTTTGCTTCCCTATATGGTTGTACAGGCTTTAGGCAGGTCTGCCCCACTGCCTGCACCCCAGCAGAGGGGAAGGTGGTATTTAAGAGGGAAGCTGAAAGAGATAGTTACAAAGGTATGCCTTCTAACCTAAAAACAGAGGAAAGTTTGTTGATAAAACTCTTGCAGTGAGATAGAGACACATCCAAAGGACTTGTGCTATCTCAGGCAGGGTCTGCACACAGTGACAAAAAACTGTGGATCAAAGGAGAAAGCATCTCAGGACATCTGGGCTCCCCAGTTCCAGAAGGACAGGGAACTACTGGAGAGGGTACAGCAAAGGGCCACAAAGATGATTAAGGGCCTGGAGCATCTCTCTTATGAAGAGAGGCTGAGGAACTTGGGTCTTTATAGTCTAGAGAAGAGAAGGCTGAAGGGGGATCTGATCAATGCTTATAAATACTTAAAGGAAGGGAGTCAGGAGGACAGGGCTGGTCTTTTCTCAACGGTGCCCAGGGACAGGACAAGAGGAAATGGGCACAAACTTGAGTATAAGAAGTTCCACCTAAACACGAGGAGGAACTTCTTTACTGTGAGTGTGGCAGAGCCCTGGAAGAGGCTGCCTAGAGAGGTGGTGGAGTCTCCTTCTCTGGTGACATTCAAAAACTGCCTGGACAAGATCCTGTGCAACCAGCTCTAGGTAGACCCACTCCGGTGGGGGGGTTGGACTTGATGATCTCCAGAGGTCCCTTCCAACTCCATATGATTCTATGACTGAAAGCTCTGGGCAGCCCCCACCTGTCTTTGGCAGCCCCTTTTGCAACCTCACTCTTGCTGGGGCTCTGCACTTGCTCTCTCCTAACTCTAACCCTACACAGTGTTCAGGGACAACACCCATCCCACCAAAACGTGCCCAGGACTGACCCTTTCCATGGCCCTTTTCTACCTTTGCCTGGTATAGTCCTGGAGAAATAGAAAGAAGCCCAGGTAGTTGTTCGATATCACTTTTGGATGGATCAGCATTACTGAAAAGTCTCATCTTAAGTAGCTACAATGATGTTGTCACTGTGCCCTGGAAAACCACTGTACTGCTGCTACGTCTCCGTCATCCAACATGCACCTTCCTCTGGCTCTTCTGCTGCCACCCATGCCCATAAGTGCCCTGGAAGGTGCCCACCCCCAGCCTGGGGTACTTACGAATGACAGAAAAGCTGCCATCAAAAGGATGCGGACGAGGAGGTCTTCAAACTGCTCCAGCACCAACTCCCAGAGGGACTTTCCTGGTGGGAAAACATGAAGACAAGCACAGTCAGCACTCAAAATAAAATAAAAAAAACACCCAGAAGGCAGCTATTTTAGATCACTGAGGCCACTAAGACCAACAGGACCCTGTCCCCCACTTGGAGCTGAGCCTCTCCAGTGCTGCGGGCAGTAGTGAGGACATCCAGCGCCGCGATGGGGGATTCTTCTCTCCAATATTAAACACCTTCATTTCTGGCATCAGCCTGGTTTTTACTATGTCTATTTTTAACTACAGAAGCCAAATCCTCCGTGTTTCTATTCACAGCTGGTAGCCTTGCCATCAGGGGAAAGTGCTGCTCTCAGCCCGGCTTTCTCTGAGATCAAAAGCAAGATTCAAAGATCCCAAAGAGTGTCCCCCTCTCCTCGTCCCCAGCACCCTCCACCCAGACTCAAGGTACCCCCTCCTCCAGCCCACGACTTACCTTCTTCTGCAGGGAGCTCTGGAGGTTTTCATCAACAGCCCGGCAAGCGTAAGAAAGTAAAAAGTGATAAAAATGAAAAGATCAATTAGTGATTTGGGCCCAGATTAGCAATCCCTTCCCTTGTGCCCCAGCAATCCATTCAGGAGACCCCAAGATGGGGTCCTCAAAGAGGAGGACCACATCAAGACAGCTTGTCCTCAAAGTTCTCAGTCTGACACCCAGTAAGCAGCATGGGATGCTGCCCACACCAGAGAAACATCATTTCCCTCCAGCAAGTGGCTCCAGCAGCATTTATTCCTGCACTCAGCCTGCCTAAAAAAATACTCCTCAGGAGCTGCCCTCTCCAAATTCAGGACACAGAGGTCCAACCATCCCGTAAAATGCCCTGCCAGAAACCCAATATGGACCCGCTGAGGACTGTAAACTTTCAGACCACGTTTCCTATTACACAGCCGTACTTCACAGTCTGCAAAGTTCGAGGAAAGGAATCCAAAGCTGATGCTCAGATGGTTCAAACCATCCACCCGGTGGGTGCAGAGCCTCTATCCACACTGCTCGCAGCCAAACCCGAGCCTGGTCACCTGCACAACCTGAAAACACCCCAAGTGCTCCCCAACACCCGCCATGGTCACCCTGAGACTCCCATGTCCCCATGGGATGACCACTACCTTCACACACCACATATCTTGAAGGTTCCCATGGCCACCAGACAAGGCACAAACTGCAGTACCCACCAAGGGCATCGCTTTGCTTCCTCCCTCGTGCAGCTATGGGCAAGGTTTGGCCAAGGACCACAAGGTCCTGAACCCAGGGATGGCTTAGGAGTGACTGCTCCTGGTTTTGGCTGCTGATGGGTGCTGGTCTCCACCTGCACCCACTGTTCCCGTATTCAGGGTGAATCCTTTGGTTGCCCACAGAGCAGCTCCCAGGAGAGCTGGACTAAAACCTCTGCCAACCGCCCAAGGAGGGGACACCTGGACATTGCTCCTGTCTCATGAAAGTGGAGGGGGAGGAACACAAGCCATCATCACTCATCAGCCAACCCTGGGGAAGGCTGTGCTGGTGGCTCAAAGGCATCACACAGCACTGCAAGGGACAGGAAGGGTCTCAACGTCAAGGTGATGTGCACCCTTTGCCTCCATCCTTTGGTCCTCTGGGGTGGGAGGGGACTGGGCAGAAAACCCCAACCCCAAACCTCCCCACAGGTTAAAACTGAGATGGAGACCTCCCAAAAATCTGACCCAAAACCTCCGCTGTCTGCCACCTCCTTCCATGCCCTGCGGGGTGACAATAAAACAAGATGTTCCTCCAACTCCTTGCATTTCTGGGATGGAATAAGGGACCAGCTGAGGTTCAAGTGGAGTCAGCCCAAGGCAGACACACTCGATGACCCATTGCTTGGACCCCCCCAAACAGGGGGTTATCTCCGAGCACCCCCAGGGTGAAGTGAGAGCAGGAAGCGAAACCTGCTCAGGTGTTTTCCATCACCTATTTTCATTCAGAGAAATTAAAAGAAAAATAAAAATAAACAAACCAACCAAAAACAACCCCCAAACCAAACCCACCTTCACTGAATAAAGGAGTGAAAACAAGAAGCTGGGACGTGTTTACGCCTCAAACTGCACCAGCTCCTCCATGTGCTCCCAGACACACTTACTACGAGTTGTTTTAAACCCACGTCCCTCCTAGATAAGGCCATTCTGATTCCCTCCCATGGCGAGGAGCAGACAGATCGCTACGTCACGCCTATAATTATTCTTATAGCAAAAAAAAGAAGAAAAAAAAAAGAAAAAAAATATATAATCTTGGAGCAGCTTCAACATTTCGAATCACTCTGCAGAGCGTGTCAGAAGGAAAGTGGCTCATCTCCCTTTTGCAGCCGGCTCCTCTCCACCCCCGGCTTCCTCTCCCCGGCCCAGAGAACCACCAAAATTAAAAGTAGAAGAGATCTGCTGCTGCTATTTCCATCCAGGCTCCATTTTAAGGGTGCAAACGTGCGAGGTGAGAGGGCTGGGGGCAGGTGGGTGCCCCCAGGGAGGCGGCTGGGGCTCCCACAGGTCTGGGCTCTGCCGGGTTGCCCAGGGGTGACTTTCCACCCCGAGCAGCCACCCGAAACGCCGCGGTGCCTCTGGGTGCCTCTCCCGCCCCGGCCTTTGCATGAAGAGCCGCAGCGGCAGCGTTCGCCGAGCGGGGACTTTGCATGAGCTCCTGCTTAAAGCACGAAAACAGGTTTCTGTGAAGTGGGGAGGAAACACGTGCGGCGGGGCAGCCAGCCGAAATACCGCCGGCGGCAGAGTGACACCGTGCCAAGGCTCTTACCAAACACCAGCGATGCTGCTGGAGGTGCCTCCCCCCAAAAAAGCCCAGCTTTGAGTAGACTGAGCAGCAGGCACCTCCCCTGCCATCGCTGACTCCTTCCACCACCCTTCACGTGGCAGCTCAGCACCCGCTTTTGCACCAAACACCCAGAGAAAAAAGGCGGAAAGTCACAATAAACTCAAGTTTTTGGGTCTGAATCGATCAAAACCCATCAGGAAACAGAAATGTTTGCTGCTGAAGCCTCTCCCTCTCACTTCCAGTCTCATGAAGAAATTAAGAGGGTTTGCCACCCACCAAAACCCAAGTTTTATGTGTCATCCCTGTGGCACCAGGCAGGGCAGAAGGGCTGGCACTGCTGCCGTGTCCCACCCGGCCGGGAAACCCACCGCAGGCAGGGAATGAGCAAAATCCTAAATCTGCAATTCCCTCGGGACACCACGGCGAGCTCAGCCAGGCTGGAATGGAAACTCCTGGCTGGCACTTGAATAGCCCCTTTCTTTGGTGGGCGGCTCAGAGCTCAGGATGGAGATCCTGCTCTGTGCCCAAGCTTCCTGGTACGGCCAGAAGACAAATGCAGTAACACCAACAAGGGTAGAAAGTGATAAGGGTTGCTCAAAGGAACCCAAAATGGGGCCACCCACTCATACTGTAAGTTTGCAGCTTCCTGAGCTGAGCCACCCTGGTGTGGGAACCCCAGCTTGAGGACGTGTATCTGCAACTTCTCTGCTCCTGCTCTTCTGCACCGTGGATTTGGAGAGCAGAGCCAAGAAAACAGATATGGATAGAGGGCAACGGGTGCCTGGATGTCACAGGACCACTCCCAGAAGCAGGACAGCGTGCTCTCCTCCGGGTCACCGAGCAGAGAGGTGCAACCCCAATTCCACCAACCCGCAGGGCTTTGCATTGGAGGAGCACAAAACCCAGCCAAGCTCCAGGGACTGGTGGGGATTGTCACATCACCACTTCTTTCCTTGCTGTGCCATCACGTCACCCGGTGGCCACGGCCTGAGCTGGGCAGCAAGACATGGATACGAGATGGTTCAAAGGGCATGCAATGAGCCCGGCCACCCCGGGCGGACGCGGGGCTGGGTTTCGGGCTATTTTAGCCGGAGGTTAATCTCCGGCTCCTGCCAACTCAAACAGGGCTGGCAGCCCGCGGGCTGGCGCCTGCAACATGGCAGGGCACGGTAATCAGGTGATGAAAAGGTAAATAAACACGGGTGCCACCCACGAGCGAGGCGGCACGGGTGCGGGCTGCCGTCCCGGGGCTCTGCGACAGCCCTCCTGCCCCCGGGGAGACCCTGCCCCGCTTCCCGGGCCAAAGCAAACACATAAAACACAACAGGGTGGCGTTGGGGTCGCTTGAAGGAAATGTTTGAGTTTCTCCTGCTGTAACAGGATGAAAAATCCCGGGAGCAGCACAGCCCTACAGCAGCCGGTGTGTCTCCGTCGCGCACTGACGTATCGCATCCCGCTCGGCTTTCGGGGAAACTGAGGCACGAGGCGACACCTTCTCCGACGTGGAGGTAAAGCAAACCCTGGTGTGCACTCAGACCCCGCATGCGACCCACAACAGCACACATCTTGCAAGGTGAACATTGAAATACCATTATCCCCACTGTTTCAGGAGCTTCCCTAGGATAAAAAAAATCAGATTTCCCTTATGGGAAAGAATTCGGATGCCAATCGATGCCAGAAGGGTAACAGCATGATGCCCAGCATTGGGGATAACAGTGAGCACCATGGCTGGGCCCAGCTTTCTGCTCCACATAACTCCCTCAAAGCTATATTTCTATGTCATAAAATAATCTTTTTTTTTCCTTTCTATGTCACAAAATAATCTTTTTTTTTTTCCTTTCTATGTCATAAAATAATCTTCTTTTTTTCCTTTCTCTCTTTTTTTTTTTTTTACTGCCTTTAATTTATTTTTCTGTACGCAGGGAAGGGGAAACGGACGGGCAAAACAAGGGAGACATCCCAATCCAGATTTTGTCAACAGGCAGTAAAAAGGCCCCAAGAAAGCAGCGAAGAGAGTAAGAAAAACCCTAAACTCTCCCCAGCTGGGACAGCAGCCCCTCTCCCGTGACACAAAGCAGGAACCCAGGCAGGGCTGCTCTGGGATCCTTCCACTGTCCCGCAAGACACTGGGCAGAATAAATTGTTATTTTAACTGGCTGCCTTTCCCAGGCCGGGCTGCGCTGGAAGGATCCCGTGGCGGAGGGATGTCTGCTCTGCTTCATCCCCGCTGACAGCCGGCACCGCCGCGCATCCCCGCAGAGCTACGGCCGGGGAAAAGGCTTTTGGCAGGTTGTTTGAAGGCAAACTCAGCCCCATCACCTGCTGGCTGTCTCTCCCGCCTGGGGACGGAGGCGTGAAGTCGCCCATCACCCTGCACGGTCGCGCTCAAGCTGCAGAAGTGTAAAAAAACCAGCGTTTGCAAACTAATCCCAGGAGTTATAGCGTTATCCGGGATGGCAAACACTCCGAGCCTAACGGTGCTAAATGCTGCCTGATGTTCACAGAGGACAAAGCATAGTCATCTACATGCCTTGGCTGTGTATTAATTAAATTAATCTGCACTCTTTGCTTTTACATACAGCTTCATGCCTGAACGTCCCAAACGCTGCTGCATCCCTGTATCTCGCATCCCACCCAGGCTCCAACCCACAAGGACACAGGGAAGAGCTTGGGAAGAGCAGGACCTTCA